AATTAAGGACAATTTCCCTATACTTTGAACATAATTTTAACTAGATTTTACTGGTTTTTTTGAATGAATGTACGTAAAAATAGACATTTAGGATCATAAGCTTCCAAATGCTCTGGTACGTCCGAAGGTGGGGAGAATCCGCCCACCCTCTCCAAATGCTCTCACATGGGCATGCGTATACAACCACTGCCAAGGAAGTTGTGCGTACTGCTTTCTCGCGGCGGGGTTGTTGTTCACGAAATTGAGAGGACAAAAAGTGAATGTCTGATTCTTTAACCCGGTTGGTGGATATGGAGAGTTCACCTAGGGGAGTTTGAAAACCCACATCCCAAACCAATAGTACACATGGGTTCCAGGATCCTAAGGAAACAAATGGTGTATGAACCAATCGTAAGTGTACACTGTTGAACAATTTCGAAATGACATGACATCATTTTACAGTGCTGTATGGATAATGTTAAGAATCAGTATCGAAACGGCCATATATTTTTCACTGGTAAACCTATTGAAACAAGAGACAATCGAAATGTAACATTACAATTTAATTTAATTTTAGGAAAGTTATCCCGACCGTAGCTGCTACCTTGACGCGGTGGTCGGGCTTGCCCATCGTGGTGACCCAACCGAGATAAATCGGCTGGAACATATGTTCCTGTAGGTCCTACCATGCCAGGCAGGTCGATTGGAGAACGATAAGACTAAAAGCAGCAACTCAAGGTCTGAGGGCGAAGTCGTACTGCTGACTGTAGAGGGGTGTGACAGCAGTAAACTGTTTCCCTCGGACAACCAGCATCTATAGCGATGCTGCCTTCTCACAAGGAAAGAAGGGGTTAGAACAGGTCGACCCTAAAAATCTCACACCTCACCTTACCTCACGGATTCCCGTCTCCGGCGGTAAGGCCCTTTGAAGAACGGAGCTAACATGTCACAAACCTTCCACAAAAAGGCCGTGAGCGACCGCCTTCAAGCAGTTGTCCCCTGGGCTCTGCGGTCGCGCCCTCGGGTCGTTGAGACCAACACTAATCGGATTTCCTTTTCAGGTTCCTCAAAAAATACCCTTCCACGGTGTTGGCAGCCGAGAAGTGATACCAGCCCTCATACCCTTAACGGCACACGAGACCAAGTTGGTCACATTCAAATCCTTCCTACACCTCCTAATACCTCTCTTATCTCCACGTCCCTTTATCACCTCGCACCTCTAGGGAAAACGATTCGAGTACGCGGGACGTTATTCCTGGTCTCCTGAAACCACGCTCTAAACTACACGTAGGAACTTTTGACGTCCGAACACTGTGCCAAATAGGACAACAGGTTTCCTTAGCTAGGACTTTAGAATCTCGCGCCATCAATGTGTGCTGCGTCTCCGAAACGCGCATACAGGGTCCGAGTAGCGTCATTCATTTGACATCATAATGTCAAAATAAAGAACCAAGTCGATTCACACTTCGTGTATCTGGAAGCCCTGATCCTGCTTCCTGTGGCCTAGCCAGTGTAGGTATAGCATTGAGTCCTAGGGCAGAGCTAGCTCTCTTAGAGTGGATCCCAGTAGACAGTCGTTTGTGCGCAGTTCGACTAAACGGAACAGTAAGGACTCGGAAAGATAGGGACACTAGACGTTTCCTCTTTGTCGTCTCTGCCTATTCTCCCACTGACTGCAGCTCAGATGATGTAAAAGATGAGTTTTACAGAAAGCTTTCCAACCTTCTCCGAAAAGCTAGGCACTCTGATGTAGTAATATTGGCCGGTGACTTTAATGCTCAAGTAGGTAAACTAAGCGAGAGGGAAAGACACCTGGGTAAATCTTATAGTGTCGTGGCTCAAAAAACAGATAATGGCGACCGTTTGTTGAAGCTATGCTCAGATAACCACCTCTTTCTTGCTAATACCAACTTTAAGCATAAGGAAAAACATCTTTTAACATGGCGATCCCCGAATTCGTCCTAACGTTGGACCCAAATAGATCACATCGCTATCAGCCACCGATGGAGTGGTTTGAAAAGACTGTCGCTCATTCTGGAGCACATGCTTAGATTCAGATCATGTTCTAGTACGAGCGCGTATTTGTCTGCGTCTTACTGGACGTAGAAAAGATGCTGCAAGGAAACCTCTTAGGGGCCTACTTAACGACAGTCAAGCTAGGAGTATATTTCAGGAACAACTAGAAAAACAGTTAGGCAGTCATGTATGTGATGCCCACCCTGAAGCAGCATGGAATGATATCCGAAAAGCTGTGGAAACAGCAGTGATGTCTGCTAGAATGGTAAACCACAAGGTTAGGGAGAAACACTGGATCTCAGCAGTATCTACCTCACTGATAGATACTCGAGAAATCATTCCATCTGGCTCTGAAAATAAGGAAGGGTGGAGTCACCTTAAGCGCAAGCTGACAAGAAGCCTACGCAATGATCGCGAACATTGGTGGGTAGCGAAAGCAAGAGAGATGGAAAAGGCAGCGGCAATACGTAATAGCAGACAATCGTTCAGACTCGTTAAGGAAACCGGTACTAGGAACTCGACTGTTAGCGAAACACTCTCCAGTCGACCTGAATGGCAAGTTAATGTAGGTCCTCCGTCTCTTTACGAAGTTGAAAGTGCCATAGGAAATCTGAAGCAAGGGAGAGCAACAGGCCCTGACAGGTTTACTCCTGAGATTTTTAAGGATGGTGGTTCAGTATTAGCAGTGAGATTAACTGAGGTCTTAGGTAGAATTTGGGAACTGTATGCAATCCCATCTGACTGGTCTCAATCACTGATTATGCCAGTCTATAAGAAAAGACAAAAGTCTTCTTGTGACAATCACAAAGGGATCAGTTTGACTAATATAGTGTCTCAAATATTAGCTTCAATAATACTTCGACGCCTAGCCAAAGCTCGTGAAGAACAGACTAGAAAAAACCAGGCTGGTTTTAGACCTGGACGTGGTTGTTTAGACCAGATATTCACACTACATCAGGTTCTAGAACACAAACACACATTCAGACGCCCCACAATCGTAGTATTTCTCGACCTTAATGCAGCATTCTACTCTGTTGATCGTGAGGTTCTATGACAGTGTTTGTCACTGAAAGGAGTACCAAAGAAGTACATTAACCCTGTAAAGGCTCTCTACTCGAACACAACTGGTCGAGTGAAAGCTTATGGCAAACTGTCATCAGAATTGATTACCGCAAGTGGTGTTCGTCAGGGCTGTCCACTCTCTCCATCCTTGTTTAACGCAGTTGTTAGGAAATGGGTACTACGTAAGGATGGCAGGGACACGTGTTACGTATGCCCAACCACCGATTGCCCTGACGTGCCATGTTTTATGGTGTACGAGTAGGTTGGAAGAAAGCTAGGGGCGGCCAGACCAAAACATGGCACAAGTCCATGAAGTCACTGACAAGTGGACTGAGTCATGTTGGTATATATAAACTACCTGGTTGGGGACCGCGAGATGATAGCAACCGATGGTTAGAGACCCTGAATGACATGGCTCAAAATCGTTTGCAATGGAGCAGGTGCATCCACTCTTTGTGTTCCGCCAAATTTTAATCTCCTGATTCCTCCTTGTCTCTTTTCTCTCTTCCCAAATTTATTTCACTGGATTATACTCTTTAAATAACATCTCCAAACCTTAATCTTCCCGACTACTGCTTATACTCTTACTACCTCTACCACTACGGGATTTGAATCGACAACTGCATCTCTGTGCTAATGTGTTGTGGCAACTCGAACTTTTGTATGTACGTACAAAGTTCTACGTTGTTACTGACTGAAGTTATCACTGATAATAGAAGATAATTAAAACTGACCAATTAACATTGATATATATCCTAGACTATTAAATGGTGAATTGATTAAAGTACTTAATTTAGTTAGATCGTGGCCAATATCAAAATTTAGGAGGCAGATTTCAACCCCCCCCCCATTCGGGACTTGTCAGCTGAATGTACTTGGATTATAATAGTAAAGTCATATTGAAGCCTGAATATAGTACCTACTAATTCAAATACCGACAAGTTTGGATAATTACCGACTTGCTCAAAGAGTATAAAGCTTATCGGATTCTGATTCAATAGTTTAAACGTGATGTTCTCATCAGAATATCTGAAGGTCAATCCTAGATTCCATCATGTGTAGGTGAGCGAATCTCACCCTAAGACTAAACAAAGGACTAACTGTGGTATTATTATGTACTGAAAACATATCTCAAAGTAATAATATAAGCTACCTACTTAATTACCTGTCTATCTACAAATGTAGTCAACCACAACTAACACAATTCGTAGTAATGTAGCAACTAAAACTGTACTCAAAATGAACACAGGTATAATTAAGTAGTTATTTTGTAATAATAACATAAGGGATTGTAATATTGTCCCTTTTTCAGTTTAAAAATAACAATAATAATGAATAGTAAACTGAAACAATAGTCACAACCGTGAGATTTCTGCTCCAAAATATTGTGGAGAGAATAAAAAAACTGGCGGAGAGAAAAAAATGCTGAATAACAACACTAATAGTAATACAGTTTACTTGACGAATATTTGAATTGATCATTTCGAAGAGGAGAAAAAAACAGGTGTCACATAAGAAAAATAAACAAAGTTGTCATGGTTGATAGTAAGTGAAGTAAAAAAAGAACAAAACGCTGGTAAGAATATAGAACTAAGTAATAAACGGCTAGTCAAGTTCGGAAAAACGAATTCTTAAAAAAAAGACAATAAGTGATAAAAGCCCACAACCTTACTACTTGATCAAGAGGGGGGAGGGTTGGGAGGGAAAGATTGCAATAATAAAGATAACAGTAATGATAATCGTAGTAGTACTACTAGTACTAATATTAGCATGTAATTATATATATACGGGAACGGAGACATTTTAACAGGAGAGTAAGATAAGTACACAATAAAAAGTAACAATAGAAGTTATGAGATTCACATGAATAGACTAATATCCATGAAAGGTTGGACAATTCACACCAGAGTCCTGTGTAACTGTAGCAACAAGAACATCAATGTTAATAATAATAATAATAATAATAATAATAATAATAATAATAATAATAATAATAATACAACTGACAACAGTGAACCATAAGAAAAGATAAACAGATAAGTAAATAAACACATTGAAGACAAAACATTTAATTCATGATATGACAAAAGAAAGAATGAATTTTTAAAAAAAAAATTGTTATTTAACTAGAAAAATAATAACAATGAGCGAATAAACACTTCAATGTAAATGTGATCATAATATAAAGGTATATTGAATGTATCATTACTAATTTTCATCTATGTGATTGTCACACAGTTTTGAAGAAAATAAAAGAGATAAAAAGAAGATCAACAATAAAACTTAAGAAAACATATTCAATTATGTATTTATAACAAATTTTGATAATTTAATTAAAGTCTCTAAACAAGAATAATCTAATAAAGTTGATGTATCACCAAAATCATAATCTTCATTAGCTATTTTACGTAATATACGTCGTATAATTTTACCACTACGTGTTTTTGGCAATATAGGTGCACTCTAAATATAAATAAAGAAAATTATGAATACAAAAGATGAAGGATTAGATTCTTTAGAAAATTGTTCATAGACTATAATTATTGAATTTTAATAAAACTATGAAAAGATCAATATTAGATAATCATTGGAAATCTGGGGATAATAGATGACTATTTCGTTCTAGTATAAGGCTCTTCAGAACGAATCAGTTGTTCAGGGCTTACAAGTTTTTTTTAATATTGGTCTAACTTCAATTGGTTTATGATTTTAATGAAACTATAGAAAATAATGAACGACTCGAAAAAAAAAAGATTTTCAGTATTGGTTTATGCATAATTTTCTATTTTGTCATTTTGTACTAGATTCTGGATGCTTCTTCTTTCTTATTATCGTTGATACTGTATTCTTTAGATATGTTTTGTTATTTATCCTATAAAATTTCATGTCGTCATGTTGACGTGGTATGTGAAATTAGGCCAACGCACATTTATTCCAGGCTCTACGTTGTTTATGGTTTACTAATCGTCGAGTAAATACGTTAGTGTAATCTTACCAAATTTAATAGATAATAACCTATTCCCTTTCAAAATACTTCTAAGTTGTGACAAAGTACGTTTCGCATATTCATTTCCACTCCTTAAACTACCACTGAAAGTCCTCTGAAGCAAATCTCTTCAACTATCTAACCGTTTCTCTACTCAATGTTTTCCTAGAATTATGTACACAGATGAATATATCAAATTCAAGTCATTAACAATCACTTGGCGAATGAATCAGCGATAAGAAGGGAAAAGTGATCAGACACGTTTAATGGATGTATCGACACAGGGAATCGATAGTCAGATAGATCTTGCAATCTTAATTATTTTAGCTGAAACGTAACACTTGCTTACTTATTACACAATGATCAATCAGAATGAACAAGAAATCTATTACATAATTAAGATTTATTTCATTTTAGTAAAAAACAAATTCAAGTCTGTAATTTTATTTCAGTGGCCATAGTAACATTTTGAATAGCATACAACCTTGTCATTATCATCATCATCAATTTATTATAAATAATAACTATTCTATTTAATGAATAATTTACAAGAATGCTTCATATAAAAATGAGTTCATCAAATATTATTTATTATAGAGATGATTATAATGTGTCAAATAAACAAACTATTAGTAAGATTCAAACAAATAATAATAATCATAGCTTATCAAAAGAATTCCATTATAATGAGTTGATTCTTGTATTTATACAGCTAGATATGAATGATAATTTTGTATCCAAGTTATAATTTAAAGTAATTTAATGAATTTTCTCATTTCAATAGTTGAAATCATCAGTCAATTGAAACTAGACCACAAAACCTATTCTGATAATAATCATCTGCTCATTAGTGACTGATTTCAAGAGGCATTTCCTGGAGTTCTAGCGAGAAGCCGTGGCGAGTGAAGTTCAACCAGGTCTGTTGTAAGATATCAACTCACTGAAGACAATGGTGTACGGTGTACGTTATTGGTCTGATCGATAAATCCCTATTCTCCAATTGACGGTATCATTGTGTTATATATTGATGGGGGCGAAAACCCAAAAACTATAACAAAACAAGAATATTGTAAGTAATTGATAGTGTCAATAGATCTCTTTATAACTGTAATCAGTATGAAAAGTTGATAATTTAATTAATTCTATTCTTTTAATAAGTAAAAAAATGCATCTTTACATAAGTATTAATTAAGATCTTTTTGATGGAGTTTTGTTCTCTGAGCTGGATGGTTAGGGATAAAAAATGTCACTTATAATTAGGCTATTTACATAATTATTTTAGTGAAGTGATAACGTATTAATTTATATGATGATATAATACCAAAGACTGATGGAAACGTAAAGGCAAGGATTAGAAAAACAAGAACAGCATTCCTACAATTGAAGAATATATGGAACTCAAAATAATGACAATACATTTAACTATCATGCATGTATAACGATTGATTTTACTTGTTTTTAAGTCTATTTATTTGAGAAATGAATCCTTTTCACAGTTTGACTAAAATAAAACATACAATGTATATATATAATTACCTGGATGTAATCTGGAGTAGCAAATGGTCCAATTTTTGTCCGAATCATTTGACATAATTCTGATTTCATTTCTTGTGTAATTATATCAGCATTCATGAAACCATTCATATGATCATTTAGTATAGAATCTTTCAATGTAACAAAACAATATAAACATTCACCCTTAACTGGATGTTTACGACCAACAACAGCAGCTTCACTAACATTTGGATCTAATAGAAGAGCATTTTCTACTTCTGCTGTACTAATAAGATGACCGCTAACATTTAGCATATCATCTAAACGACCTGATTTATGGAGATATAGAAAGTGAATAGAAAAAAATATTTATATACATAAATGTAATTTTATAGCTTTTTCTCAATTTATCATAAAACATACATCGATTTTAGTATTTCATTATGTCAAAGTATATTACTGATGAATTTACCTTTAGAAGTTGCACGTTATCGGTGTTAAGCTTTAAAAATCGATTACTAAAACACTTTTATAATGAGTAAAACTACAGTGATCATGGTTAAAGCAAAACTGAAAGCCTCAAACTATCAGTTTGGTTCATTTTTAACTTGATCAGAAGTTACCGTATATTATAAACAAGTGCAGATTTTTTCTTGTGACAATAATCATAAGTACAGTTTTTCTAAATAGTATTTCTGTAAGGCTTTTCCATTTACTGATTGGTTCCTGCTACTTAATTTACTAGTTTTTCTATATATCTTAAAGCCATCTTGGTCATTGTATGTATAGAATAGTTCCATTATGAGCTGAAGAGTCCCACAATATGACGAAACGGCCGTCCAGTGCTTCCAGGTTTTCCATGGTGGTTTAACACCAATCAGTTCGTGATCTCAATCTCAATCTCAAATAATCTCCAAAACCCTATACTGATAAAATGAAATTTCAACTGAATATTATGTTTAGAAAATAGTTTAATTGATGTAAATTGTTGAAAGATATAAATAATTCAACAATGATCATCGTAAAAAGATAAACAGACAGGCAGTAAATACAGAATATAGAATGGGCAATAAATGGATCTATTGGGGAATAATAGAAACGCTGATAGTTAGAAATGATTTTCTGCTCAATCAATCGAGCAACAACAACCAGAGAAAATAGTCAAATAAACTGGAAGTTGTATTTTTTTCCCTTTAGAACTAGGAACAACAATTGAATGAAAGAAAGGAATGAAAAGTAACCAATCAGTTCATCTACAATTAGGCATATACATACTAGTACTGTAATGAAAAGCATTTTTTTTTTTAAATAGAAGGAAATTCTAAATTGTATTCATCGGAAATGATGTATAGTTTGTAGAAGTTTTTACATGAGTTGAATATCAAGAGAACAATAACTAAAAAGAAAAATCATAAACACTAATGACAACAAATTAACTTATAACCTAGAATAGAAAACGATAGAAATTAACCTTTGATAAGGTTTAGTTTTGTTAACTCTCAGATTCATTAAAAAAAGAAATTAATGATCGGTGAACAAAGAAACAAACATTAAGGATTGTAGACAGTTTGTATAAATGATAAATGATGCTTTTTTTGTACATATTTGTATGGTTACGTTAATGAATGAGGTTACACTAGTCAGGTCGTAAATATCTTGGATAGTGTTTGTTTCATTTAAAAACAAGTATAATGATCAAGCAGTCAGTCAGTCAGCTACAACGTAGGACCAGGCACATATATACATCACTCCAAGTTGCCATGCCTCATTAACACAACAAGTTGAACACCGGATTCATAAAAGTAGCTAGTTCAGAGGTGGTAATATATAAAAGAAAGATTGCATATATGGGCATAGTACAGGAAGAAAGAGTTAGTTCGTAGAAAGAAAGATATGAAACCATTTTAATCTCTTAGTTTAAGGGAAGATAGAGAGTGTATACACCGACGCCATTGTGATCGATTCTGAGCCATGTCACCAAGAGTCTCTAACCATTGGTTACGATAGTCACGCAGACCCCAACCAAGTAGTCTGCATCTACCAACATGGCTCAGACTAGAAGTTAGTGACTTCAAGCACTGACGCCACATTTTGGTTTGGCCGCCCCTAACTTTCTTCCAACCATCTCCAACACCGGTTAGGATTGCACGTCATGGTAATCGGTGTTCAGGCATACGTAATACGAGGCCCAACTATCTCAGTCGATGAAGATTGACAACAATCCAATCTATCAACCAATCAGAAAAATCATGTACAAACATAAGAACAGAAATCAAAACAATGGGAGACACAACCAAAACAAAGAAGTAAACTGTTATATCTGTGAACAGCAGCTGATTTGAGGGCGAGCGAAATATCGATCGGACCAAAGACGCGCAGACACGTAGAACGACCTAGGGTTCTGATTGGTCCCGCTTCCCTATCTAGCCCAGCAGTTGAGTCCAGAACGCAAGTCACAGCCTCGGATGTATGAATCATTATATTTCAAACATACTTTGTTTATATACCAGTCAAACAAACCACATCATACCATAAAATAGAAAATAACATTATACAATATTGGCCAGTAGGAAAATGACACGTTAAATAAGTACTGACCAATAAGAAAATAACACCATGTTCAAGTCCAAGAATAGCATTAGGCTAAATAGGATAATTTCTGGGATATTTTCCTGAATATCCCAACACCTCCCCTTTTTGGTGTTGATATCCGGATTTTGAATTTTCTTCGCGTCTATCCTCCCCCGCGGAATAATGTTGGGTCCTCGTATACCCAAGTAACAGTTAGTGTGACTCTATTTAAAGCATATTTCCCGCATTGAGTAGAGAGTCCACTAGAGCTGACTAGATGCTGAGGATCAGCGACAGTAGATATGAGGTCATTAGAGTTTGATTCTTGTGAAACATTCCCATTAGATCTCTTCGAAATTCCATTAGTGGATAATACGTTACCAAAATAAACAGCATCTATCAAAATTGTATTAGATTTCTGACCATTGTTTGATGCATGTGATACATTCTCTGGCAAAACAAGAGAATCTTTTCGTGAGCTGGACATGCTACTGTCTGTACATGCTGTTTCGGGGATGATGGAGTTTGACTCCATTACCGGGCATGTTTCTGGAATAGAAAGTACTGGACCACCGGGCGCATCATGAACGACTGTTTCGTTTGAAGTACAGTTCATCGAGGATTCATGGAGGCTGTCATTTTCCAGCTCACTGTGAAACTCAGATATCAATCCGTCCACTTCCGTCGCATCTTCATAGCGTGACTGATTTAGCAGCTGCGTGCGGAATTTGACTAATAACTCCAAATGTCGTTCAAAGAGCAGCTGTAATCGATCGGAAGGGAGAGTCATTTTTTCGAATCAGCACCTGTGATGAGAATTACTGTGTGAATAATGACCAATGTCGTTGAAGGACAGTGACGACAATCTGGATGCTGATTGGTTGAAATAATTAGATTGGATTTCGTCCAATTACAGAATGACTTCGGATTGTTTTTTTTCACCCCGTCGCCAATTGTTATAACTGTGACAGCAGATTAGAGGGGAGCGAATTATCGATCGGACCAAAGACGCACAAACACGTAGAACGACCTAGGGTTCTGATTGGTCCCGCTTCCCTATCTAGCCCAGCAGTTGAGTCCAGAACGCAAGTCACAGCCTCGGATATATGAATCATTATATTTCAAACATACTTTGTTTATATACCAGTCAAACAAACCACATCATACCATAAAATAGAAAATAACATTATACAATATTGGCCAGTAGGAAAATGACACGTTAAATAAGTACTGACCAATAAGAAAATAACACCATGTTCAAGTCCAAGAATAGCATTAGGCTAAATAGGATAATTTCTGGGATATTTTCCTGAATATCCCAACATAAACAATGACAAATTTAAGGTCAATAAGAACTAATCAACATCGAGGTGCACAGAACAAGCTTTGAAACACATATGGAGAAATTCAAACACTTCACTTCTATTTGAAGTTTGTGCTAATGATGTCTTTCAGAAAAACGATGAAAGCTTCACGACCAAACCATCCAGCTCAGAGAACAAAACTCCACCAATATTCACAACCTCATCAACTGATTTACCATTATTCCCTAATACCCTGCGTCTAACCTCACTATTACTTACCCGGTGATCCCAGCAGACGCCAGCAATATTTCTAAGGCATTTGTGGTCAAATACTAGTAGCTTACGAGTATCTTCTACTCTTAATGGCAATGTTTCGCTGCCGTAAATTAAAACAGAACGGACTGCCGCGCAGTATACTCGTCCTTTTATTGATAGACGGATATCTCGCCTTCTCCATAAGTGACGTAAGTTGGCAAAAGGCAAACGAGCTTTTCGAATTCGTGCTGAGATTTCGTCCGATACCAACCCATTAGGGCTGATCAGACTTCCAAGATAAGTGAAGTTGTCAATGATCAATCACCCTTTTGCAGGATATATATATATATATATATATATATATATATATATATATATATATTCCCGTTGACGCGAATTCATATAGAGATTTGATATGTGCGTTACTATGATTCATAACTAAATCAATAAATGACATTCATTTTAACCCTCACCACTCATACCCCTTCTGATCTTGATGCAACCTGTCTTTGTTTGATTATCAATCATGAAACTGTAACCTCTTTATGACCATGACTGTTTCATATTGATTTACCGTTGTAGCATCCATGGTTACTGTCCGGTATGTCAACCTTTTATGGTGAGAAGGTAGTGTCGATGCTGATGATTCCTAACTGAGGGAAACACCTTACCTTATTTGAGTAAAGTTGGTAGTACGAATTCGCATACATACCTTAGTTTCGCTGATGTTAGTCTTACCGCTCTCTAACTGAGCTGCTTGGTATAATATAATCTGAAGAAACAAACCTTCCTCCCAATATGGTTTGACTGGTTTATCATGATAAACGGGCCCGTTCATCACGTCAAGGTAGCAGCTATTATCAGGACCTATCTACCTACTTCAGATTGAGTAACTGGACAGTATTAATGGCTCTCACATAAAAACCATGTGGCTCAAAACTGATAATATATACTTGTACTTATCAAATGAACTATCTTTTGAGCGGTTGTATCTGCTAATTTGGAATCATAACGAAAATAATGCTTTCTTTCTCACTTGTATGACCGTACTTGTCCATTAGAAACTGAAATGTCATCAACTAGGTCGATTATTTCACTCAAAGAGAAACATTGTCTTTTTTTATAGTTTCAACTGTAATAAGCAAAGAGTGTTTATGGGGTTTTAAGTCATACCAACAGTGATGTTATTGTGAGAATAACTTATGATAACAGTATGAAACTGTCTATATACAAACAGATGCAAAATAAAGAATATTTCTTCTAACTCATAACATAATCACTCAATCGAATAGACTAAATCTATATAAAAAAAACAATATAATTTCGTCAGATTTTTCTGGGACATATCACATTAATACAGCAGGAGAGAATTGAAATGAGTGCAAAAAGAGCACGAATCCAAATATAGATAAGTCTATACATTTAGACCGGTACTCAATGATTACAAATTACAGACTACACACTTTAATGTAATCACTATCAGACTTTACTTATTTATTTTGGCATTATCAGTTAACGAATCAACTTTACTCACTTTTATTTTACTAATCTTTACAAACCACCTCTCGATTGTTGCTTAATTAAAAAGGTGAAACTATAATATGTAGACGAACTAACTGGATTTCAGACAGCGCGAAATCCACTTATCCATATGGCTAAAAAGCATTTTGTCATAGCTGGTTTCAGTTTGTGATGAAAACATTAACTCTAACGTTAAACTCTAAATCCTAATACTAATTTCTCACACTAATTTAAAACCCTTTTTGACCCTTGAAAGAAGGTGACTATTCTCAAGATCACTTTAGCATCGCTCAAAGGTCGTTCTTAAAATATAGCCTCAATATTCAGTTTTTATAAGTTGATTTATACAAAATACTATTACTTACCTGTTATCCAGAAATCTCCATCTTTATCTAACACAGAACCGTCACCAGCAACATAATAACCAGGAAAACGTTTAAAATAAACTGATTCAAATAATTCATAATTATTATTGATTGTTCTCATCATACCAGGCCATGGTTTAGCAAAGACCAAATAACCTTCTACATTGATACCTAGTGTTTTTGACTTTTCTGTTAAATCTTCACCACTCTCAGATAATATTCGAGCATCAATGCCAAAGAATGGTTTAGTAGCACAACCAGGTTTCATTATATTTGCTCCAGGTAATGAAGTAAGCATATGTCCACCAGTTTCTGTTTGCCAAAATGTATCTACAATTGAACATTTACCATTACCCACAACATTATAATACCATTCCCAAGCAGATACATTGATTGGCTCACCAACACTTCCAAGGACCTAAAACGTTTATTGGGTTTTTTTTTGATGAAAAAAGACAAACATGGAATTATACTACATTGAAACTCTAGTTCCATTCAATAAAATTTGTAAATGTCATTGTTAATACACCATCTCAATCGGACAATTGTTAAAAGAAATGAACGTTGAGTTATGTGACAAACTTATAGCTCTCTCTATACAATAGGAAAAGTTAGCTATTCTGTATTGAAAATAAATCGCAAAGTTTAACATGGAAAAGAGATATATCTAACTGCTTTGTTTACATTGGTCAACTTTAGACCTAATAAGTCATCTTAACAATTGGGTTGAATTATATAAACCTCGGTCTTGCATTCTTTTAAAACTGAAATCTATCTTATTCAAATATTACTGTAATTATCATAATTATTACTTGAATTATTTATTAATTTACTCGAACACAAATATTGGTACAAAGGGGTGACAAAAAATATATGGGTCACACAAATCACTGAATTTCTGTATGGGCTGAGATACTTTTCATGTGCATAAATCAAAGCTGATGATTTTGTTAAGAGACAGTTCACCGAACCTCTGACCCGTAGGTCTAATCCACAAGGAAGTGGAGCAACGTTAAATGTGGTCATATGGTATTCGGTCATCAATAACAGGCTCGTACTATTTCTTAGTGAAAGCATATCACTTCATACATTACGTAATATTCAATTAAACATTTAACTTGACGTGTAATTACATTTTTATCTTACTTACGCCTGTTACCCGTCGTGGAGGAGCATAGGCCGCCCCCCAGCATTCTCCATCCAAATCTGTCCTGGGCGATCCTTTCCAGTTGCTATTCATCCTAATTTCCCGCTCAACTGGAAGCTGGTTTGTTGTTGCTGATGGTATCCGGTCAACGGACATTCAGTATCTTGAGTAAACAGTTGTATATAAATAATTGTACCTTTTTGACTATGATTGTCGTAGTTCTCTAAGATTTCAGCTCCGGACAGTTGAAATGTCTTGACGTTCGCATTAAAAACTGTGACTCTGGTATTGGTTGACAGTTGTTTTGAGTTCCATATGTTCTTCAACTGTGAGAATGTTGTTCTTGATTTTCCAATCCTTGCCTTTACGTTAGCATCAGATCCTCTATGTTCATCGATTATGCTGTCCAGGTGTACGTGAACGTTTCCACATCTTTCAGAGTTTCTCGATCAAGTGTGATTGGGTTGGTGTTCTTCGTGATGAATTTGAGGATCTCGCTTTTTCCTTTGTGTATGTTGAGACCTAATGCTACAGAGGCTGCTGCTACACTCGTTGTCTTGAACTGCATTTGTTGGTGTGGAAGGACCAGGTCATCTTCACATTTTTATCTTAGTGACACCGTATGTTACCTATATTTATGCTTATTATTAATTTCGAGTGATATTTAAACTTATTCAGGTGAATATTACATACTAAACATTATTACATGAACAATTTTATCTTAATATTATTAGTAATCCTAAATTCATATTCTATACTTCTTAAAAGATGTATTTGCTTTAAATTTTATTATTCCTTTGGAACATTAACTGGAACCTGATGAGAATCTATACAGAAAATGTATTCGTTGTCCAGCTAGTAAGAGTATAGTATACGGAAGAGCTTAAAACAACAGCGGCAAATATTCCACCAGTTTTTAGTCAACCAGAAAATAGCCTTTGTCAATGGATAGTTTATGGAAAACAAAACAAAAATATTACAGTGTACATTGATTCCAAATATGTAAATAATTTTTTTAAAATCTTTTACCGGTTAATCTGGCTATAAACTGGAAAAAACAATGACATATAAATCTGTCCTTACAGATACAAATTATCCGTCTTCTCGAGACCTTATAAGGACCCAGATTAATTTATACGAGTCCACACACTGTTCGCAGTTAGGTTTAGGGTTGCCGTTTTTATCACGAATAGATGGCATCAAATATAATTTAGAAATACAATGTAGCCAAATAGAACGAATTTTATGCAAAAACAAAATGCAACAGTTTCTATTTGGTTCGTTTGTACATAAAACATAGTGCCACCGAATTAATATTTAATTTACGATTGAGGGTTTGAGGTTATGATTTAGGTAAAGTATCGTTTAGCCAGTTATATGCAGCCTACAAAAGCAGAATCGGGGATTTGAAAAGGTTGACACTATCATATTTACTTTATGGTGGTAAAAAGTAATTTTTTAAAAATCAATTTAAACGTTTTGAACAGTAAACAAAGGTATTTCGGCCGTTAGTTATAGGTGATAATTGAATTTGATGCAAAAACTTAAAACTCCACTTTCTTGATCCTGATTGACCTGTCCCTTCCCTATACTTTTACTGATCAATTTGTATATTTCCTATTCAACCAAACGTCAAATTTAGTAAAATACAAATACTAGTCCGAAATATTATTTTTAATTTAACTGGATACGTCAATAGCAACAGAGATGTATTCATATAATACCTTACATTATACTATATACCAATAAAATTCACAACAATTAGAAATTGACAACACAATAACGAATACTTACCTTTAATGATGTACGATCATAACATTGGACGTATTGATCACCAGCTTTTATTAATGTACGAATTGCTGTAGGAGCTGTATAGAATTTTGTCACTTTATATCGATCTACGATAGACCAATATCGACCCGGATCAGGCCAAGTTGGAATACCTTCAAATATTACAGTTGTAGCACCGTTTAATAATGGTCCATATACAACGTATGAATGACCTAAAGAGAAATGATAATTAAGTTATTTGTGCCTTATCCTTGACAACATATTTTGTTAATTTTCAGAAGAATATAAACCTTTTAAATATTAACAATGTCATAATGAATATTATATTGTACATTAATTATTTACCTGTTTCAAGTAATTATATCAATTGAAAATCTACCTAGAATTTTATGTACACCTATACTACTAAATATTTCTATTACTTGTGGGAAATGTTTAAACTGTCTAGTTTGAAAAATGAGAATTAAGCTAAGTTTCAGAGAGATCCTAAATAAAAACAACTCAAGTAGAAAGCCTGAATAGAGATCGATAATGATTGTAGAACCATTAGCAGTTAACAGCTTTTCAAAATTTTGCACACATAACTTTACATATGGAATTGAACCTAAGACCATCAGGTCTGATGATGAAAATGATACCCTTAAACTATTGAGTAAGGACCACAATAGTCTAGGTAGTGGTCGAATTAGAATAGATTAAGTACTATTCGATCTAATGACGTAATGAATGATGAATCAAGTTTTTGAGCCAATGAGTTATGATTCCAAAAATCTGCACACTCCACGATCCTAAAGGATACACCTAGCACACAACACCCAAAAATCAGACCGTAATCGTCAGCTGTTAGATTTTGAGGCTATGGTGCACCAACTTAATGTCACTGATTCACAGATTTAAAAATCAATGCTTTTGATTAACCGAACCCAGTTGTACCGTTAGCTTTAATACGATAAACGCAGCTTATAGTTAAACACACCAACTTACAAGGGATAAGTGGGATTAATATCGATTTCGTATTTATTTATTTAAACATATAAATACTGGTACAAGTAGGCACCAAACAGATATGCGCCACATAAATCATTCGATTTGTGTGAAGGCTGGGATACTGACTGGCTGCCCAGACCGAACCAGGTGGTTTATTCAGGGAATCACACCTCAAGCCTTCGACCTAAGGGTCTGATCCACAAGGCAGTAAAGATGCAGTTCCATGGTAGCCGGTAACCGACAATAGGTTCACAATAGGTTCCAGGATACTGGAACCCATGTGCACCATCGGTTTGGAATGAGGGTTTTCCAACTCCCCTATGTGGACCCTCCATATCCACCAACCCAGTTAAAGCGCCGGACACTCGCCTTTCGTTTTCTCAATTTCGTAAACAACACGCCCTCCGCGATAAGGCAGTGAGTAGGACTTCCCTGGTAGTGGCTGTATATGCATGGTCATGTAAGCAAGAGAAACAAATGAACATTCCTCAAGATTTAGTGGTAGTTCCATGAAGACAAGGAAACTGATAAAGCCACCTAGCTTCATTCGACGGTTATCAGCTCTCATAAACTTTAATGTATTTACATGAAACTAAATAATCTCAATTTTTGCTGTTTTGTATTATCCTGTTTTTGATATGCCCCCAAATGTCCTGGTATGGCCGAGAGTGGGGTGGGCCCTCCCTTTCTCTTGAAATGCTCTCACACGGCCACGCGTATACAGCCTCTGCCAAGCAAGTCCTGTTCACTACCTTCTCGCATCACGGGTATTGTTTACGAAATTGAGAGGATGAAAAGCGAATGTCCGGCGCTTTAACCGGATTTCAAACCAATGGTGCACATGGGCTCCAGTATCCTGAAGGAATAAATGGCATATGAACCAATCGTTGGTCAACGGCTACCATGGGACTGCATCTCCTCACGATGCTCCACTGCCTTGTGGGTCAGACCTTTAGGTCAAAGGTTCGGGGTGTGGTCCCTTAAGAAAACCACCTGCTTCGGTCTGGGCACCCGGATAGTATCACAGCCCTCACACAAATCGAGTGATTTATGTGGCGCATATGTATTTGGTGCCTCTTTGTACCAACATCTATGTGTTAAAAATAAAATAAAATAAGTTTTTGATATATTTCGACTTAGTCTTAGTTGGTATATGTACATTCTGTGCGCATTGTCTCAATATATCCATTATAAAACAAATTTAAATACATTCTACTGCTAGATACATTCCATCTATTCTGTATAAATTTTTGTTATAATGGCTATATCGAGGCAATCTGTACAGGATAGACATATATCCGCTAAGACTTACTAAATTTAAGCCAACCACCTCCCAGTTCCACCGATGTGTAACTAACTCACACCTGACGTGGTTGAACTCCAATGTTCACGACTTCTCAGTAGAACTCCGTGGATTACCTCTTGAAACTAGCCGCTAATGAGCACAGAGTAGAATGAGAGAGAAGCTGTCCAATGCTGTCTCATTTTCACTGGTTGTTTAAGATTAGTCCATGATGTAAACTAAGAAAATTCAAACAGCACAAAACTCCCCATGCAAAATAACTAAATATTGTTAAAGATTTTTCATAAACACACTCAGTTGTATACATCTGAACACAGAATCGATTTAAAATAAATTCATTATCAGTATAGCATAACACACCTGTTATCCAACCGGCATCAGCAGTACACCAATATATATCATCTTCATGGTAATCGAACGTGTAGAAGAATGTTGTAGCTGTATAAACCATGTAGCCACCTGTGGTGTGTACAACACCTTTCGGTCGGCCTGTACTCCCACTTGTATAAAGTATAAATAACGGATCTTCTGAATTCACCCATTCTACAGGACAATCAGTATTTTCAGGAATAGTACTGATTATATCATGCCACCAATAATCACGACCATCCTTCAATGGAACATCAAGCCTATTTAAAGTTATCAAAAAGAAAAGTGTTACTAGAAAAATATATCGGTAAAATAAAACCTAAATGGAAAAATAACATGTCAAATAGACTGAACATCATATAGTAATAGAGACTGGCAAAAAACTCCGACTAAAACTAGTGGTGCATGAATCATTTACAAAGAACAAACTTATGTACTCAAATTTAAGCTATACGTTTCGAGCGCGAGTGTGTGTAGGAAATAATGGTACTTCTTGATTGTCCCTCATAAAATATATGAAGTGGACTTCGTAACTTAACCTTCTACATTAATAGATCACTGAATAGCAACCAGTCTTATGATTATCCAGCCATTAATGTTAATTGAATTAAATCAACCTTGCTTAACTGACTGATCATTTTTGGTACGGTCGAAATTTATTTATAGTATGAAGTGAATTCTTTCATTCTAATTGTCAACATTTTAAATAACAATTTCCTATCCACGATTATTCATGTTTAAAAAGAACTAGATGATCAAATAGATAGTTTGATTAACTCTAACATCTACGCAAACATTGGTTACCTATTCAGTGGATCGATAAGTAAATAAACATTTGTCAACTCTTACTTGGTAAGCTATACTTCACTAGAATGTGAAATGACTTTAACCTTCTAAATATTTGTCAGTCAGACAACTACAACGTAGAACCAGGCACAAATATGCATCGATCCAAGTTGCCATACCGAATTAGCACAGCAAGATGAACACTGGACTCATAGGAGTGGTTAAGTCGATGGTGCTAATATATAAAAGAAAGATTGCATATAAAGATATAGTACAGGAAGAACTAATTAGTTTGTAGAAAGATATGAAGTGATTTTAATCTCTTAGTTTAAGGGAAAACAATAAACCAAAAGTGAAAATTAATAAAAATTTAAGGTAAAACATAATTATTTTGAAGATACTAACTACAACTTCCAACATAACATTCAGGAGAAATCAATTATTAAATTCATGCATTGACCTGAAGTGAATTTTGTTCAGTTAACCTTATGTACTATTTAATTCAGGTTAATTTCCGTTCATTGAATATGAAATTAGTCATTTAATTGTTAATGTATTTCTTTTGTAGTCATAAATTCACGGTGATTTTTTGCTCCAATGATGAACAACTACTTAGTATGATAAATATTATACTAACTATTGTAATTAGTATATAGGTGAATAAATAAATAATGCAAATTTGGGCTCTACATTCTAGTTAAAGAGTATGAAAGAAGAGGGTAGAAACAATCTCATTCATCATCATGATGAAGTCTGAGTTGTAAATAATTAGTTTACTATATAAATATATTAAATTAATTTTCATCAATAAAAATTATTTATGATTAAAGGACCTTAAAAGTGAATTTCATTTTCCAATGACAAAAAAACTTACATTGAAGCGGGTCGAACACCATCTTTACTTTCAACATTATTACTTATTCCATTAGTGGATTTAGAGGGAAAAGCAGTAACATGTTGAAATACAACACATCGTTGGACAAAATATCCTTTATCTTCACACATATCCATTGCAGTAGACGCAATTGATTTAAGTTGAATAAGTTTCGACCCTCTCCAAGTTCCATCAGCAGTGATAAGAATGCTACATCTGATTAAAAGAAGAAAAAAAACAGATAAGAAATTTTTTATTACTTCGAAATAATAAATATACTGGGATAACAATTTTACTAAGCGAAATCTGCACAGTTCAAATATTAAATCAATGCGCATAAACGAAACAACAAATTACAGAATTTAGGGAAAAAAGAAATATGTAATTTTTTAACAGAAAAATGTTGAATAAATATATTTGAATCACTCTATTTTGACGATCTCTCATAATGGTTAATATCACGTACTAATCGTAGTTAAACAACTACTGAAAACTAGGAAGCCCTGGACAACTATCTTACGCTGATATGGGGCTTCTCATCAGTATGTATTCATAACCCATCACCAAGGGTCGAACCCAGGACTCCAGTAACGCGCGCGAACGCTTAGCTTCTAGGCCCATGAGTCATCCTATACTACGATGCAGCGGCAGTCCAGTGTTTGTTAGTTTTCAGTGGCTGTTTAACGAAGATCAGTTTATGATTTTAACTAGAAAATCTTCATAACCCTCTTATCTTTGTGATGTATAATCAGCTGCAAAGACAGAACATATTTAAGCAACGAATAATAACTATTATAAACAATAAATCGTTGAGATAATTTAATTAACAAAATTGAGATGGGACAAAAAGTCAGAAGATACAGAAGAGAGAGGAAGAGGTAAGAGGACAGGAAGGAGAAGAGAAAGAATCCTGTAATTCCCCACAACGGTTATTGAGGACACATAGACTGATGATAAGGATTTACTGAGCCTCCAAAATAAATCAAAATGATACATGAATACACTCATCTACATGTCAATTTTACTCACATTTCATGATTAGTTAACAACTATTACGTATAGGAGAAATACACAGAATTACTACAAAAACTCAAGCTACATATCATACTGAACAAAGTTCACATTTAATTGATACAAAGGATACTGCCCGGAAGAAACATAACACTGAAATATACTCAACGTTGTATTGAACAAAATATTACCCTGAAAATAAGACAAATATTACAGAGTAATCATCATATTAAATTAAAATGGAAGTAATGTTGAATGAAAATTTAAGTTCGTATGTCATTCACACTCTAGTCGATCAACCCATTGCTCGGCATATCAGAGAAAATAAAGGAAGAGAAGATGTAAAAAGAAACGTTGTATATCATAATCGAAAATGATCCATATTTATTTTGTATATAATCTAGACATATCAAATAAAGTCACCGGTAATAATAAATAAATAAACACAAGAAATTGAACGATTAAGATTATGGGCGGCCAAACCAAAACGTGGCATCAGTCCTTGAAGTCACTAACTTCCGGTCTAAGCCATGTTGGTAGATGAAGACTACTTGGTCGAAGTTCGCGTGACTATCATAACTAATCGTTGGAGACTGGGTGATGTGGCTTAAAATCGATCACAATGGCGTAGGTGTATACTCTTTATCTTCCTTTAAGCCGTGAGATTAAAACTGTCTTATACCTTTCTACGAACTAATTTTTTCTTACTGTACTATATCCTTATATGCAATATTTCTTTTATATATTACAACCAATGAAGTAACTGCTTCTGTGAATTTGGTGTTCATCTTGTTGTGCTAATGAGGTGTGGCAACTTTGACCGATGTACCTGGTCCCACGTTGTAGCTGACTGTATGTGGATTTGTGAGAAAAAAAGAATTATGTAATGAGTGAGATTGTTTCCAGACAGTACATTTTAATTAGATAAACGACAACTTCAACCTTCTTTCTTTTGGTATGCATAATGTGTTGGAAATACATGATGGAGATGATTTTCTTAAGTAAATTTTGTGTTGCTTGCTAATTATTTTTAAACCTTTGGAGATATCTATTTCCGAAACGTTTGGCCAATCAGAAATCGCCGAACGGAAAGTGCACATGATTGACCAATGAATTGTTTTCATTTTCAAGGGATGAGACCCATATATAAGTCTATATTCAATCGATTCGACCTACCAAAATAAAATTCCTTCCCCACTCTCCGTTTCTTCTCTTGCGTAGCCGCGCTTGTGTATAGGGAGAGTGAATATCATCATCAGCTTTCGGACACCGAGTCACGACTTTATGCTTCATCACCTTGTTGATAACTCTACTGAGTATTTCACCTTTTTCAAGAACAGTCACGTAGGATTGTGCTCGGAAAATCTTTTAGAGATCCTTTTTTAGCACCCCGATTACTGCTTATACTCTTATTACCTCTACCACTACGGGATTTGAATCGATCACCGCATCTCTGTGCTAATGTGGTGTGGCGACTCAAACTGATGTACGTACGTACGAAGTTCTACGTTGTTACTGACTGACTGACTGATTAACCCCTTATATAGTTGCGTCTACATGTGTATGTAATCTATTCAGTCAGTGATTGACCCCGAATTAAATATCATATGTACTGGATAACAAAAGACATTAATAACTGCTTGATAAATGATGCAGTACATCGATATATTATCTAGATGACCGAAGTGCTGTGGTTTTACTTGGTAGAAGTCAAAACATTTTTAAACTTCATCAAAAAACTTCAACCTATCTGAAAAAAAATATCTTGTCCATGTACAGTAATTGGACAAAAAGCCCTAAAATTTCGAAGGGATCAAATATATTACGAATATCGCACCAAAAACCCCATTATTAGAACTGTCTAGTGATGACACAAGACAGTTGAGGAAAAATCACTTATAAAACGGATATGGAGGCTTAGTGGCTTTTAAATATATTTTTCATAAGAAAAGAACCCACAGAAATTCAAAAAGGAATACACTTATTATCTTCCTTTACAAAAGTAGCTCCAATACGAATCCAATGGTCTAGCTTCATGTGATGAAACAGGTGAGTAATATTGTTCCTTGGTGTGGGCAGCATGGAAGTGCCAGTCCCAGCAAATCTCCATTGACAACTAAATTACTAGTATCTAAATGTTTCCGGTTTAGTTAACACCACCTTTCTAAACCTATTTTCTATATGTCCAACGGGTGTTTATGACTTCGCCCTCAAACCTCCTGATACGGCCGAGAGTGGGGAGAGTTCACTCTCCCTCTCGAAATGCTCTTACATGGCCACGCGTATATAGCCTCTGCCAGGGAAGTCTTACTCACTGCCTTCTCGCATCACGTGTGTTGTTTACGAAATTGAGGACAAAAAGCGAATGTCCAGCGCTTTAGCTTTGTTGGTGGACATGGAGAATCTACCCGGTCAGTATCACAGCCCTCACACATCAAATGAGATCTATGTGGCGCATATATATATATATATATATATATATATATATATATATATATATATATATGGTGCCTCCTTCTAACAATATTTATGTGTTAAACTAAAAACAAATAAAATAATTTTTGACCTCAGTTTGCGAAAAGCTATCCTTGAACACTTGACACTTTATAGTAAAGTCAATGTTAGAGCCTCCAACCTTTGGACTAAGTGTTACACTGGACAACAAGCCAGATTCATCAAAACTCCCAAATCTAGTCCCAGTGGAGTTGGTATCAGTTTTATATAAGTTTCAGAAATAATTAAGCTATTCTGACTAATACATAATACTAGAAGTACGATATTTTAAAAAAAGCTGTTGGAAATACTATATTACTTGGCATCGATAATTCGATCGGCAAGAGCACAGGCAGAAAACCCACCAAATACAACAGTATGTACAGCACCAATACGGGCACATGCTAACATAGTCATCAGGAGCTCTGGAATCATAGGCATATAAATGGCAACACAATCTCCCTTCCTAATACCGAGATTCGCGAGCATTTTACCAATCCTTTTGACCTATATGGAGTATGTTAAATAATCAAAAGCAATTAGTCAAATAATTTAAGCCAACAGACTACTAAAAGCATGTAAGAAATTAATTGATTTACAAAAGTGTGAACGAGACTAACAAAAATATAGTCATCAGAATTAATTTATTAGCAAGGGTTTGTAATTTCTTATTATTGGTATTCAGGACTACAATTAGTTAGTTAGTGTTTCAAGAGAAACGTACTGGGTTCCAGTTTCAGTATAAGCATCAAGATAGGGATGTAGACGAATCCCGATGATGAGTCCCAAAAAAGAACGAAAAGTGCTTTCTGGATTCCACTGCTACCCGCATACTAAATACGTCAGAATTGATTTATTTTTAAGGATTTAGTTGCAAATCATAAGGTCAATAGTTCAAACAACATATGTATAAAAGACCAGGCATTGTGTTTCAACCGCCATAACACACAACTTGCAGCAGCATGGATAAATTATATTCAATGAGCTACTAACTTACTACTCAGATATTCAAATATATAGAAACAAGATGAGACATGATATTACTATTAATAAATCAGTACAATTGTCTCTTACAATGTATTCAGTATTGATAATGAATTTAAACACTTGGACTTTACTATGTTTCAAACAGACATGGAAAAAGAATAATGGATTGCCATTCGAATTTACAAATTTGTTTCTATCAACTAGGTTTTCGCTTTTTATTCTCCTTCGAAAAAGCACCTTGTGCTTTAAAATAACGTAGTGTTTCGTTGTGACTCGACAAACTGAACTTATTGAAGTGGCAGATATACCAAAATAAACATAAAGGTCATATCAGGTAAATAGTAGAAATGAGAGCTATGAGTCAGGTTAAAAAGTTCGGAAATTCTAATAACTCGATGAAATAATAAAACTATCAGTTCAGAAGTATAGAAGTTGGCTTCGCTGAGAAGTAAAACAGTGCAGATAATACGTTGTACAAATAAAGTAAGTCTATGCCCCCAAATGCCCTCGTACGATCGAGAGTGGGGGGAGTCCGCTCTTTGACTTGAGATTCGAAGGCTCTGGATGTGGCCAACTAAGAAAACCACCTGGTTCGGTTTGGGCACCCGAGCAGTATCACAACCCACGCACAAATCAAGTGAATTGTGTGGCGCATATGTACTCAATGCCCCATTGTACCAATATTTATGCGTTCAAATAAACAAATAACTACCAACAAAAGTTCATCGAAACTACTAAATTAACATTTTAACCATGAGTTGTTTGTACAACCAGTGAGTAAAATCTTAACTTCGTTTTGATACAAACTCTGAATTGGGAGAAAATAACAAATAGTCTGCAACCAGTTTAATTTGCAAAACAGATTTTTAAAAAAAATAAAAATATAAGGTCTAAGTACCTTGGCCAACATTTCAGAGTACGTCAAACGATTTGTATCATTTGGATCGTTGCCTTCCCATAAAATTGCCACTTTATCGTCGAAACCACGGTCAACATTGCGATCCAAGATATTGTAGCAAATATTTGTGCATCCATCTTCAAACCATTTAACAAAAATAGGTCCTTTACGGCAATCGAAATTGTAACTAAGACATTTTCCGAATGAAGGGGGTGAATGCCAGTGAAACTTCATTGCATATCCCAACCAAAATTCCTTAGGATTGCATAATGCTTTGTCAGATAATAATTTGTGTTCTTCTGCTGACTTAACATGGGCAGATTCTCTGATCAAATCACTAGGTGAAACAACACTCATAACTTTTGCGCGATTTCTTTCCCGGAAGTTTTATGACTAGAGCACAAAATGAATGAATCCAAAAGACTGGATAAGTAACCCAGAATAAAGCAAACGTAAGTTTATGACTTAGTGAACATACATTAAAGCTCTTGCTTAACCTAACAATGCAAAGTTAGGAAGGTTACACAATAACATATTATTGTGCACGGCTTTGAATTGTGTAAAGAGCTTGAAAAATGCAGTATTGATGTAAGAGGAGTTAGCGTGAGTCAGTTTTCTTTGCTGTTTGGTAGACAAATTTAATGCTGATGCATAAACAAAATCAAACTCACTTCAACTCAAGATGCAAGTCGTAGTTACAGGGTAGGATTCATTAAATTGTTTTTCAAGAAATGATCTTAAAGGCTCAATTTCCAGTAATACCAAGAAACATAATTCTCAGTAGAATGCTGTATCAGTTATGGAAATACAGGTGCAAAAACACCAACAACTTACATTCGTTTCAATTTAAGTGTGTGAAACTTCACCATAAACCCACTTCAAATAAAGATTGTTAAAAATATGGTGAAGACGAACGATAGGAAGCGTTTACAGGTCATTAGTAATTTAGGAAGCCTACTGAGGATTGTCTTATTGGTTAATATTAGCACTGTTAATAAGCAAGTTTGCTTACATAATGACAGTCCATTAATTTAAACTGTCTTATTATATACTCATATTTTAGAAGACACGAAACCGTCGAGTAAAGTTACCTATTGACGATATATAAAGAGAAAATCCTGGGAATAGTATTTCAAGTGAACTAATGACCAACGCTCAGTGAAGATTAACGTTCTGATCCCCTTCAGACAACTCAGTCAATTCGTTTCAATTCCACATGTGCGAAAACAATGAAAATATGAAAAAAAATTATCTGCCCTTATGAGAAGTTTGACCAGCTTTAAGTGATTAGACCAATAGTTCGGGCCTAAACTAAAAGTGGACTATAGTAAAGCACATAATTCACGTACTTTAATCTTGACTTCGACGTACGTTTAGTTCGTTGCTGCTTACGAACACTGCATAAAGTCTCTTATTATATAAGTCTTACAGAAAACCATTATTAGGCAGATATAATTTGGAAAATGATGTATCCATAAAACTTGAAATAAACAGAGCACACAACTTTGATCACAACTTTTCATAAAGACAATGTGCTTGCAAGTCCACCAGAACACTGTGCGTTTGTGATAGTGTCTGTTTTTATAATACGAATTTAATTTTAGACTAAACTTAAAGGATCGTATTGAAAAACAAGCCGACGAATGGTTCCATCGAGTAAATTGTGATAGTCACATGATAGACTGCAAAACAAACATATATTTTGCCAGATAAAGACTTCAAGGAAAAAACATAACACCAAAATTACGTTCAAACACTAATATCACCTGTCTACAAGCCTAACGTTATTAACTAAGGTCGTGTGCTTCAACGAGTAACGCAGCATTTGAATGTCTTCGAGCCATTAACACCGATAAATAGACAATCTACCTAATAAAGCAAAAGTAAATTATTATTCACGTAAATCGCTCTATGTTAAGGCAATTCTTTCAAGAGAGAGAGAGAGAGTAACTTGTCCACTTACTCAGTTACCATGTAGAATATCATGTACTTAGTATTAGGGCGATCAGTGATAGGTTGAGACCAGGCAAATTCTTTAATGAAAGCTATTATTTCCAATATGGGAATTTAAGTTAAATATATCTGTTGTGGATTTTGTCGATTAAATTTGGGGATTTGCAGTCTTGGAGAACTACTACAACCAACATTAAAAAGGTACGAGTATTTATAAACAATTGTTCACGCAGGATACTGAATGTCCGTTGACCGGATACCGTCATAATTACCTTACTGTGGAAGAAACAAACTGGCATCGAGCTGAAGAGGAAATCATAAAATGACGTTGGAAATTGATAGGATAAACCCTACAGAAATCTTCAAACTGCTTCATGGGGAAAGCGCTAACTTTGAATCCTGAGGGGAAAAGGAAAAAAGGAAGCCCGGAGAACATACTGCGTTGGGAATTGGAATTAGGTATCGAGAGAATGGATAGCAACTGGAAACAACTGGAGAGGACTGTACAGGACAGAATTGGATTGAGAATCCTGGTGGGTGGCCTATGCTCCCCCATGAGGGGTAACAGATGAAAGCACGTGGTAAGTCAGTAAGTAAACAGGTCGTTCAAATTAACATTCGTCAAAGGTGTGTATTTGCCCTCATATATGTCTGTTTGTTTTATGCGAATTCAATCAACGGTTTATATCAACAAAACAAATCTTAACGTCTACGAATAGTTTCACATCCAACTTCTTCAGTACGCAAATATCCGGCGACCAGCTTGCCCGAAAAATAATCCGATACTAAATATGTCGAAGACCTCTGATATACAGCTGTGGCCTTACTGAATACACATAGCGTTAAGTCCAATAAAATGTGCGAAATAAAATACAAAATCGACAATAAGTAGTGCTAGATGAATCTAAGACCTATTCAAGCAAGGTTTTGCACCCTTTATTCTGAGCCAATATAACTTGACGCATTTACAGTGGGCTTCAATGTTTAACTAAGAGATTGTGAAGACGAATTGTCGAAAGTGAAGTTCAAGAAAATCAAAATTGAGTCTAATAGCTCTGAATATTTTCGAAAATTCAAGAGAAGTATTAGTAGTCGAGTTTAAGGAAACGATTGTATCATCTTGTTGCATGATGTTACAGTTTTGCTGCAATTAGTTTGTAGATCACCCTTTATAGAAGTAACTTTCGATGGAACCAATAGTCTACTGAAAGTTTTTTTAATTTTCATCATTTTTTTCTCAAAACTTTCACATTTAGTGCGCAAGCAAATGTAAACTTTAGAGTAAACAAGCTTATAATTCTGTTTAAATTTTCACCTGCTTGAGAGGGGACCAATCTCTAAGTGTACAAATTTTCTTATTCTATAGATAATGCAGTTCATTTTTCTCAAATGTAAAATTGATTGCTTACGTACGTTTCACGTCTCGCCTCCTCATTTAACTCTGTTGATTTCCTTCTAATCCAAGAACCCCCGAGACCTGTTGAAAGGTGGAGAATCTGGGATAATATTAAATATTAACATTACGATTGGTGAAATTCAGGTGATGGTGATGAGATGTTTGAAAATTAGCTTATGTGATTTTACCAAACGTTTTTAAGGAGCCTTCCGAATGTGAATCAAACTGTTCGAGAGCAATTGTTTCCTGTATACAACTTTCAAGGGACTGATGAAAATATGGTCTGAAAATATTTTAAAGCTATAGGTCATCAATATCCAAGACTGACACTTGGATTCGTCTATATTTTAAGTAAACTTTACATATAGTACCCACATACAGTGTTAGGTAAACTTTACAATAGATCACTCGAGGTTTTAATTTTAATTTATGCTGTGGTCGACAGTGCTTTAAAGAGCATACACTTAGGTGTTCAAACATTAAGTATAGTTCCATAAGTTGTCGAGTATTACTGATAGTTACCACTCGTTTTATACATTAAAGGAGCCAGACTAGTGGTTATAGTAGATTTTTATTCAGGTAGTGGAACAAAACCGTTGAAGTTTGAGGTAGTATAGTATTTAGAATTATTTAAATTATAGTATGAACTAGGAATCCCAGAAATAACGTTATCGGGTCAAGAAGTACTGGATAAACACGAACGAAATTACTGTATTTAAAATTCGAAATCAAGCATTCAACAAGTACAAATGAATCATTAGTTCATTCTAACACCACATCCGCCACAGCTTAAATTAGAGCTTAAGTGTCTGTAATCGGTTGTACGTCTTCTTCTTAAGTTCATCCTGTGTCTGTCCGACAGTGTATTGGATAAAAATTCGGTCTTATCTAGAATGTGCTCTTTAGTATTGGAATTAACAACCAAAATCGGAACGGACTCACCTGGAATTGAACACAATCAGTATGTCGGTTTTGCACTGAAATAATTAATATCTAGAATTCGAACCATAGATTTTTAACACTATCCCTCCAACTAACTAATGTTGGATCTTCATATCCCCAAGTCATGAATGATGTGGCTTCATTTAGAAAATATTTCCCACAGTGACTTGGGGTAGACATTAGAAGTGACTTCGTGATAAGGATAAACAGTAGTTGATAGGAAATCATCCGAATTTTAATCAAGCTCATTAAGTACTTGTGCTTCTTACCGAACAAGTTTCTCACAAGAAACAAATGCATTATGAGGACAAATAATATTTCAATTGAAGATAGACTACCTGGAAGAACTGGACAGTCGTTTCGTCCTAGTATGGGACTTCTCAGCAGTCAACATCCACGATCCCGCCTCCCGAGAACATCAAGATTTGATTCTTCTGAAATAGTTACCTCAAATGTATTAAGAATGTCATTGCAGATAAAAGGATCATTAGAAAAATCAGCATCTATCAAAACTACATCAGGTTTTCGATCATGACTAGGTTCACTCAACATATTTTCCTCATATTTGCAAAGAATTTCATCAGAAATAAGTAAAGCATTAGGAAAAACCATATCTTGTACAATAATATGAGAAAGCTGATAAGTTGATTGATTGAAAACTGTTGTCTCACAAGGATTCTGAGTTTCATTTAACTCTGAACTGCTATATGACTCTACACTGTCCTTGGAAATCGTTGATAAAGATATATGATCATTATAAATACTCAACTTAATAGAATCAGAATTACAAGACTTAGTATTAGTTGCAGCAAGATGAACAGTCGTATTACAAACTGACTGAATATGTCCAATATCACCACATTTAAAGCACTAAGGATTACGAAATACACATGAATTAAAAGAGTGGAACCTGCCACATGACAAACATTGATCAAACTTGTACCCATCTTCGTGAACTGCATCGCAACTCCTCAATGAATTATATGCATAACCTCGAGTATGCACTGGTTTGGGGTGACGAAATGCATTGGAATTTTTTATATCTTTGTGAATTATTTTACGAAATCTCCCTTTACGGTAATCGAAATTTGTATACTTAACATAGTCTAGCAGTAGATTCTTGAGAATTGTATAAGAAAGCGAAATGAGTTCTTACTAAGCTATATGATTCTTTTCCGATGAATGTGAGGACGTGTGCCACAATATTAACATCCTCATCATCTTCCTTGGTCATAGCCCAGATTTGGAACGTTTCAAAGTAATCCTCAAAAGCATCAAAATCTGAATGTATGTCCAACCTTCCCATCACAGGATCCTGCTTGCGACCCCGATTCGGTATTTCAAATTATTTAAATTGTAGTATGAACTGAGAATCCCAGAAATAATACAGTCGGATGTCGAAATACATTCGTACGTAGGCAAGGATACAAATCGGGCGAAAAAGGAAAATAAACTTAAATACATGTGTTTTTTTAACATGCAATTGCATATGAACAATTTCCACACAATGAGGTTTCTACCATAATACACACACATTAATGAGCATATTAGAAATGTCTGTTTTCGATTTTTTTGGCGCAATAATACAAAAAACTGAGAAAAAAGAAAATGTTATGTGTTATCTTACGTACAATAATTTGTCAACTGTTCCGAAAACCTTACTTTTCCTTCAGAATGTGGTGTTTTATGCCAGTCATTACCGAAATTCCTTCGTGATTGTTGGTTATCAGGCAAGATATCGTAGTTGTGTGGCTGTTGTCATCAGAGTGCACGGAAAAAAGTCAACATAATTAGGGTTAACTTCTAAATGCACATTTTTAAGACGGTCAATGCTAACGTTATCGTCAGTTCCTGCTCCATCAGTGATGGAGGAATTTGGATTGTCTTTTGTATCTTCCTTCGATTTGTCGTTGTAATGAATCTCGGAGTACTAAAACCTTTGTACCATGTGTCATTCGGGTTGGACGAAGAAATCAGCTGATTACAGTTGAGTAGAAACAAGTTTGACTAAGTGCATTGCATTGGTAAGCCTGCTCGTGTAAGAGTTTATATTCGCATTCAATGACGAAGATCAAGAATACATAAATTTTCCTGAGAGCCGAATTATCGTTTCATAAACGAGTTGTAGTGTAGTGTATCGAACTCTCGCATTCACCACATCGCGAATATCCAGTAAAACGAGTGGAAGAGCATCGGTTCACTGGGATGACTTTACAGCTGAGAGTGAAGCTTTCAACTATCGGTGAAATCGTTCTGTCGACCCGTTAGCTTGTGAGTGGAAGGTGGACGCTCGGAATCGTTTGATTTCTAGTAGCATAATAAAATGACGGAAAAGTTCAGATTCAAAACAACGAAGGGCTGTCGTAGCTTACTACTCACAGCTCGACGAAGGTCCGAGCTAGTGTCTTAGCAGTGTTATGCTTAATAGACGTTGCTACTGCCAAGTAAGTGAAACAATCTACAGGTGTTAAGAGGTAACAATCATTTTGGATCTGGTAATGGGTTTGCCAAATGTGGATGAAAATGCTAGAAATGAGAGTAGGGAGTTGCGAAA